GTTGCCGTTGGTTTTGATATAATGGTTGGGGACGTTACAGCGAATAAATCGATTTGTGTAATGTAAAAACAACGCATCAAATGATGCCGTACTTTAAAAAGTTTTCTCCATCAATTACGGATCACAAAACAACAGCAAAATCGTGTAAAAAAAGACGAAAAAAATAGAAACACGCACAATCTAAACTTGCAAAAGGTTTTCATTCTTTTTGGAATTGTAATCGTCTTTAAACGTTGCACTCATGTTTGTTCACATAAAATGCGATTAGGCAAATTACCGATAATAAATAAACCGAAAGAAGGATAGAGATAGATCTGTTTAGATGGATGGATGAAATGCATCAGGTGAAATGGAGAGAGATTAACAACGATGAATTTCAGTTTGGCTGCAAATGGAGTTGAACTTTAATGCGTTCATCACCGACACCACCTATCTCTATCGCCATCGGATTATTATTATAATCTATCTGGCAATGACTTGATTTTCTAGCGCGTTGCGATCATCAAATTCGGACACAAATGCAAGCATGGAATGATTTTCCTCGACTCGAGATAGATTGATTGTGTGTGCGAGTGTGTTTATTTTCCATTCGACTCGGTGATTACGTAATTAAAATGCACTGAAGAGCATTCCAACGCAACGTCCATTCGATGCGCATATTACATCCCAATAGTGCTATTGAAATGCAGCGCATATATACGTTCGACCCTTTAAAATCTCGTTGATTTGTTTGCACAAAATGCAACGCGGTATTCGTTCAAATTCGACTGAAAATTCTCATAATTATGTTTTTCGCAATTTCGTGCTCTGTAACGTAACCGTTTTGTGTGTGTATGTCTTTTTTTTCTTTCGTATCGTAAAGAGGCGCTCGAGAGTCGCACGCACTAGATCGATGTTTGTTTGCTCTAATCGAACTGCAATGCAATAAAATAATTGCAACAGAGTGAAAAAAGCGTCAAGTAGAAGAGAGAGAAAAAAATGTACAGAAAAAGGCATTAGGCTCATCACAACACACATGTACTCCTGCGAGCGAATGAGTCAAACAAACGAAACGCTTGCGTTTGGTAAATAATTGCAGTCAGATCTACACAAACCTATTAACAATGCTAATATTTATTAGCGTGATCGTGTGGTGCTGGCACACTGTACTTGATGTGATGCCCCGTGTGTCTGTGTGTGAGAGAATGCATAGCCATCGTACGCATCTATAAATTGTTGACTTTCGTGCAATTTTATCTGTAGGTTAAGCCGAAAAAAGACGATACAAAACAACAAACAAAAAAAATAAAAACATAGATTACAAACAACACATGCTAATGCTCTTCCACTGCCACATCGGATTGCCAACTCTCGTGCGCATCAACATCAAATAGAGATGGGCTTTTTTTGTGCTATGCGTCCCGTTCCATCGGTACGAAGAGAGCCGAGCGATAGAATGAGAGCGAACGAGAGTGTGTGAATCACAATGTATTACAACATTGCAACATACATCACATTGGCAACCTCATCGAAAATGTAAATGGTCGGCTTTTGTGTGTGTGCGCGTTTTTTTTTTTGTTTCGTTTGCGAATGTTTTCTTTGCGATTTTGCAAGTGTCGTTTGCCACAAAATGACTATAATCGTTCAACATTCTAGGCCTGAAACGCACCACGAACAAAACAACAACGCCAAACAAACACTCATACACACACCAGAGAGACACTTTGCACAAAAAAAGTGCATCGGTGTTGTTGGATTTTTTTTCGGTCGAGACCGATGATTTCAACGGCGGTTTCATCTATCGCATACATTCCGATTCATAAATCAAGCGTGGGATCGATAAATAAAGCGTTTAATAAGTGCAACTTTTTTTGTTGTTGTTGGTTTAATTGTTTGTTGAGAGAGCTGTTGCGTTGATATTTGTTTTTTTTTTTTCGTGTGTGTGCTGTTGTTGTCGAGCATCGGTTTACAAAAGGCGTACATATGTGCGATAGACTCTTTGGCCGAACGTTAATTAAATATCGTGCAGATCATTTGGCGGTCTCTCTCGCGCTCGCGCTTCTAAACATGCAGATGAAAACTGTGTTAATTGGCAGAAGGAAATGTAACGTGATTTGCTTTGGTCGTTTATGATGTTATAATAAATACGCTTTTTTATGGAGAGCAAAATAAATAGAAAAAAATATATATATGTAAAGATAGACTCAGGCCCCGAATAACCGATATCCACACTCTTTGAAATCGCATTTAATCATTTTTATTTGCATTTGCATTCAACAACGCTCATGCTTCGAATTTATTGATCAACTATCAGAAGATCGTGTATACAATCTGAATGAACAAGATTTAGAAGAGAGAGTAAGAGAGAGAGAGAGAGAGAGAGAAAAAAAAATGCACAAACAAACAACAACACGGCAAACATAAAATGAAATTAATTGAAGACATTTTACAATGTAATAAATATGTTCAAACTTTGTAGTTTTATCGATTTGAGCGTGTTAGTTGTGCGAGAATCAACCACAACAACAACAACAACACCGATGATATATCTCCCTATATGCGCGGATAGAGATATACACTGAGATGACGGAACAAAGTGTAATGTAATTCTCTCATTCGAACGTAATAAAGCATGTGTTGCATTACAACCGTCGTTGGATTCGTTTTGTACTATTCAAATCATCAGCACACACAAATACACACACAAAAAAAATAGAAACGGCACTCTGGAGACTTCACATTTTTTTCTCACTCATTCGCTCTGTGACGGATATTGAGGAAACATAAAATACGCATTCAATTTACGCGACATTATGTGAAATGCATTCAATTTTTTATTCAATTTAATTTCCCATGATCGATATGACATCGTGGCTCTCAATTGCAAAATTCTATCGACTTTTTTCCCTCCTTTTTTTCATTTAAACGAAACCATCAACTGGCATTTAGTTTGAGAAGAAAAAAAAAACATATATGATAAGATGAATCACTTCATTCTCAATCGTTCCATGTCTTGTGACTCAATTTGCGCTATTGGAATCAAGTCAATTAGACGATTACGCTTGCTGCTTGTCAGTTGATTAGTGTGAAAAATCAGATCGATTAACGTAATCGATGTGTCGTTTAGCGTGTGCGCACATGCCCATCCTAAAATGGACAACTTGATGGCATATCTCTTCAGTTATGCGAGTGTGTTGAATGCATTCGCAAGACAAACGCTGAATAAATCTGTATAATTTTGCCCGCACATTTATAATAACAAACTACTGGCATCGGACAATTTATTTCGGGGCAATTTCACAGTTAAGACTCATTTATTATGCACACAAAAATGAATCTTATTCATATGGTGTATCGATGCGCCACAAGTGCGCTTCCACTCACTCTTGCGTGCGCGTGTGCGCATCTCATATATATATAATTTTTTTCTTCTCACACACATATTCATTGGCCCCGTCTCGTTCATGGCCAAGCACCACAAATCGATGCAACGAAATGAATTGCAAACGATAGAAAACCAAAAGAGAGCTAATATATATCGACGCTGGATTTTTATTTGACATGAGATCTCTCTATTTTACAATAAAGCTATCAACGCACCAGAAAGACACACAACCAACTCTTCGGTATTTGTACAGAACTTTGAATACACTGCATACACTCCGAACGGTATATTGCAGCGATAGAAAAAGAACAGAAAGACTTACATAAATTTACATATAATTATTTTGTGCTTAAAATGACTTCAGGGCAGTTTATCTCTCTTTGGTTTGCATGCAACTTTTTAAATGCAAAAACATGCGTCTGAATTTTCTTCTTCTTGTCGTCGTCGTCGTCGATGTTGCTTCTTCATTCTCTGCTGTTGTGGTTTTTGGTTTATTCTCATTCTTTTGCCGATCTCTCTCTTGGACCAAATTCGCACCGATAAACATTTGTCGCCGATGTAGCAGCATCATCATCATCGAGAGATGAGCGTTGCTTTTACACATTTTTCAATTACTGAACTGACTCTGGTGTCTTTCGGTTGTTTTGCATTTCGCTTCACATTACACATGGATTCAAACATCTGTTCTCAGAGCGTGAACGATGCTCGTTCCCGTACCGAAAACATAAACACACGCTATACCATATCATTCACGTACCAAACCCGATATTTAGTTTACATTTCTCTAATCAATTATGTGTTTAACTTTTGTGCTTTACGTTTTCATGTTGGTAATTCTCTTTTGTTGATTTTGTTCGCCATTTGGTTCATCGCCATCCTTTCTCTCCATCATCGTCGTCATTCTAAAGGTCTCACTTTGTGTCTTTCGTTCTTTGGATTGTGTGTCTTGTTTGCTGATCGTTCGTTGATTTATGCACGCTTTGATTTCGCAAAATGAGCGATGAACGAGAGAATAAATGCGATGCGAAAGTGTTTTGTAAATGAGTTGCGTGTGCACGCGGCATCACTTTTAATCAATAATACTTCGTTTATGTATATATTGACATTGAAGGCGCTCATGTTTCTGGAGCGTTTTCGTTCGACAATAAGATGCACGTATGGAAAATGGATCGTTATTTTAAAATTGCCGCAACACCGTTGTTGTCACCGCCATTGTCGGATCTGATTGCCAAGATCGACATTGATTAAATGTGTTTTCCAAGGCGGTCGTACATGCAACGCACATAATTCACATTATGGGAACCAAACGTCTGCAACGATCACATTACACCTTAAAACCATTTATTATACGGAACAGAACTTAACAGCAATATTTATTGATGGATATTAACGTTTATCACGAAACAATGTCACTTTGCCATATTTTATGCATAAATTCACTTTGAAACATCTTTTCTCTTCTCTTCGTAAATTGTACGCGCATCGGTAATATCAATTACATTTTGTTTCGATATCGCATGGCTGGGCAACATATTCTGCACCATATTCAAATTACTTACCCATTCCTAAATCACAAAATGACTTGAGACTTTTCTCATTGATATTAATGTTTTTTTTTTCTCTTTATTTTTGATAGCAGCGTGAGCTGTCTCCGACATGGGCAGTGAGCATTACTGCTTGAGGTGGAACAATCATCAATCCAACCTGTTAGGGGTGTTTAGTCAATTATTGCAGGACGAGAGTCTAGTGGATGTTACATTAGCTTGTTCAGAAGGTGCATCAATCAGAGCTCATAAGGTAAGATCCCTTCGATAATCGTCATTTTTTTTTAATTTTTCGTTTTGTCTGAATCATCGATCTATTCATTCAACGATAATTAATTAAATTTTCTGTTTTTATAACCGTTAATCATACGATTTGATGAAACATTTGGTACATTAAAATCAGTTGATTTACTCCGTACACTATAATACAGAAATTTTATGCAATTCCGATAGTGCAGTATAGTGATTGTTTTTTTTATCGTTTTTACCTTGGAATTGTGCATTGCAAATGTTTGCAATAAAATAAGAGAGAGAGAGAAGCCTAGAGAGGCGGCTCAATGCATGGCTACCTAATTTTAGCTTCAATCGATTTTCAATATTATGTGTATATATGCGAACACAAAATATTTCATGAGATTGGTAATATATATAAAATATAATAGAATCAAGATAAAACGGTCGATCGAACGGGATTTTCTTATTCGATTTGAATCGATGATTATTAGTTGAATGCGTTCGTGCTTGCCGTCAATGGAAGTAGGCAATAGAAACACACACATTTCGGAAATGCGGCGGCATCCAGTGTGTATGCCATATGCGCCGCCAAATATGCGATCCATAAAAGCGAATCGATTGGAACGCGCACGCGCACGCACTCACATAAATTCGCCCGTGCTCTAATCTCAAGCAGAAAAAAAAATCCATTGTATCAATAGAAGAACTGAGAGCCGTCTGTTTGTATTGAAATTTTGTTGTAATTAAATGGATTTGAGAGAGAGAGATCGAGCGCACTAAAACATGAACTGAAATCTGTTTTTGTTTAATGTTTATCTATTAAATCGAATTGACTTGTGTGCGCTTGCGGCATCAATTTTGCACATTTATGGGGAATCGGCTCGCCTATTCAATGTTTCACATTCGTGCGCCTGCCAAATGCAAAATTGCGTACAAAGACATTTTCAAAGTTGGATAATTATGGAATATACTTGACAGGCCGCGCATTCGCTCTTGTGCGCCGACAATGCTCAATGGTGTTTTTTTTCCTTCGCTATCTGAAACACATATATACCAAATAATATGCACAAAAAAAAACAAATTTTTAATAATAAATTGTAAATGTGGTATGAATTGTGTGGCGATTTGTTATATTTGATTTCATTTTTTTTTGGTGCGATCGGAGAGAATTTGTAATGGCTAACCATTCCTTTAATTCGCCGTATGGAATGCGATTTTCTCGTTTTTAGCCAAAATGAACACGACAGAGGGAAACGAAAGTCGATTTGAGCATTATTATGCAATTTTCTTCTCGTAAAATCGAGTTCGACGGTTTTATTCACGCCATTGGAATTTATAAATGCGATCAACTCGTTTTTACCGATGATAAGAGAACAAGAAAAAAAAAACAAACGCCACCAAACAAATGAGAACAGTGAGAATTATGATCGGAGGTCCACAATAAACGAATTAGAAACAATAATAATGCATAACAACGCAACACCAACTCCAATGCGCGAGCGCGCTTACATAGACACGATACCGTTATGAATTGTGACGCATACCCAATTTGATCGATATAATTTTTATGAGCAAAACATTGCATTTTATCAATTTCAGATTGAGTCGGACTTTTTTTTTCCTCATAAAAATGAATTGTTGTTGTTTTCGAACGTATGCGTGTTCAATTTTATTGAGCACGACAGAAAAAAATGGTTCCATATATTCCTTTTAATATAGCCCGTGTGTGAGTGAATGTTTCTAGTTGTGCAATGACTTCAATCACACAATAAAATGGAATGCATTCTGACAAACGACGAATTCAATTGAATGGCAACTTAATGTTTAAACCAGTTGCGTTTTAGAGAACGCAAAAAATCTGTTGTTTGAATTTACAGTGAACGACGGCGAAAAAAAAATCACCATTGTGTACTCGTTGTGAAAACAAAAGAACAATTTATCGTTTGGGAGCCGAATGCAGTGAGAGAAGTACAGCAAACGGCAACACACACAAAAAAATGGCAACTTGTCAAAATGTGTGCGAATTGAAAGGCCGTTTTAAAAATGGCCTTATTTGCATGGCATCGAGAGAAGAAAAAAAAGCGGAGTGTTCGTGAGCAAGCACAGGAGCGGGAGTATATTGGAATATAACCAATCATTTGGCATGCATTTGGCTTCAATAGTTTTATCCATACACATCACTCCATGAACAGGAATTCGTGCTTCGGAAAGCCAGATAATAGCTAATGTTCGACCGCGTTTTTTTCTTCTCTCGCGCTATGAATGTGTGTGTGTGTGCTTCTCTCGCAACGTGTGTTCTCGTTCGACGTGATTTTTGACTCTGTGAAATGCGGTTGACATGCAAACTTCCATTTATGATTTACAGTTGCAATTAAAGTGTGAGCACGTCTAAGCTTAGCTAACAATGTTTACCAAAGCGCACAGACACACACGTACAAACACTCGCAAACAAATGGATCGAAAAAAATGCCACTCCAACCGATTTGTGTGTTTTTTTCTAGTTCAAACGCCCACAATAGAGTCAAATCCATTTCGGTGCATCAAAAACGTTTAGTAAAGGACTTGTGGCAAAAAAAAAACGCGAACGCGACAAAGTTCTGTTTGACATGCACAACAATTAACTTCCAATTCGGTGATCGCTTTTGCAACTATGGAAAATTGACGGATGTATCGCATTTCAATCGTTTTTCCATCGCATTGAAATCCGATTCCGATGTTGTTGTTTTTTCGTGCACGTTTGTTGTGGCGGAAATGTGCTTTGGGACGAACTTGAAAAAAATTAAATGCCATTCTATTATATTTTCTGTGAATTAAATGAAAGTTTCATTTGACAGTAAATCAAAAAAATAAAAATATGGTTACGACTAATCGATGTCAAAAACGAAATATATCCATTATGTGAAATGAGGTTAAGCTTTCTGCTTGTCCTTTCCATGTTTTTGTCATAGATTAACTATTACTCACATTTAGTTCGCATTTTTTTTACTCTGTTGTTGTTGTTGTTCACATTTGCACGTTTCGTCTCTTTTCAGTGCAACGAGAGCGTTAATAATTTGGATCCATAAATAAAAATTGGGACACATATTTCTAATCGTTTGTTTTTCGTGCTATTTCAGCTGCATTTAGTCTTTGGCACAAGTCCGACTAATGTGAATACAATAATCGTAAAATCGACAAAATGTTTTCTATTTTCCTTTCAAATCTCACACAAGTTTGATGCAGTAATTTTAAAACCCCCGATTGAAACGTGAAATAATGCTCGAAATGTAGCTTTGGAAACTGTGTGTCCCAACATTTAAAAAAAATGCCAACAATGCTTAAAACCATGAAAACTTTCAAGTTTTCCTTGATTCGAATTTCAAATAGAAAAGTTTTTCTTCTTTTTTTCTGGTGTGGAACCGTTTGTGGTGAAAAACTGTGGATAAAATATCCACGCAAAAGAATGTTTCCAAATGAAAACTAAACTGGACATGGATAATTCGATTGCATTGTTACGTAAAAGTTGTTTTGTTGTTTTTTTTTTGTGCAATTGCTGTGTGGTTCTATAGTGAATTGTGCACGTTGCACATGTGTCACTTAAGCCACTTAAATTGAATTCCCGTGCATTTTTGTGATAAACATTCGCACGTCGTGGATACATATCCACATACTAATGGCAATGACGATGTGAAACAACGAACGCAACGAAAAAAAAATCACACAACTAGCAAGCAGTAACACCAATGCTTTGTTTTTGTTTGTGTCATGATGCACACATTCTGTTTTATGAAGATAGTGATAGATATGTGACATCCACTGCGAATGCTTCTATTACGTGTGCTGTCATGTCAACGCAATGCAAGTTGTAATTGTCGTTTTTTTTCTCGCTCTCTTGTCTTATTGTTGTTTTTGCTATTAAGCGGAGCTTGTATAAAGTGAAGCTCGTGCTCGAGCGATGATTCATTGCAGGCCAGAGAGAAGTAAAATACGGCTCATTACTAATGTTGCCGCAACATGAAATATGTCTTCTGTGTTTTGCTCCCATATCTTGATGTCTCTGCTGTGTGTGTGTGCGTTTTTTTCGTTGTCGCCGTTGTTAGTGCTTTTTAAATTAAGTGCAAACATGTGGAAATATTTTGCGGCTTCATGGTCATCGCTTGACGGCATTCAATCTCTCTATTCAATCACTAGTTGTAGTAATTAGCGTTTCTTTTTTTTGTAATATGTCGAACGTGTGCCGTAATGATTGAGATAGCGCAGACGCATGCCGATTGAGTTGTTACATATTTTACACGAATCAGAACAAAACTAAATCATCAGAACAAGCTAAAGCAGAACTTTCACTGACTTTATTCTTGACTTTTTTTTCCGCAACCGAAAAAATACTGAGCTGAATAAAAAATTGAGTTAAAAGGTAGTTTGAAACTAACAACTCATTTTGTTTCTAACAGAGATCGAACATGTTCTAAGAATATGGCAATTCAATTAGTTTTATTGCCCGATTTGTGACTTTGTTTGTATTTGTATTGTTGCGAATCGTTGTGTCACCTCCACAATGCATTCTTCTTTTTTTTGTTCGAAATAAAAGAAGAAATTCTCGCATTCGTGAGGCAATAAAAAAAGTCACCTTCCATCGTAAATCAATCGATGAAAATTATTCATAAATCACGTATGTCCCGTTCAAAAATCAAATAACAAATGTACACAGTAAATCTAAACAACACCAGGCGTTGCAAAAAGAGAATAAAAAGAGCATACGCTAAAAATAGATCAATTGAAAGGTATCACTAATAACAAACTTTTATGCATTACTCCAAGCATCATACAATCAATCAAACGTTCTATTTTCGTGCGACGAATTGAGTCGCAGCTCTTTTTTTTCCTCAGAATTTTAAAAATAGACTTAAAAAAAAAAAACATAAAAGATGCACGCTGTCATTATTTACCCTTAATTAGACAACTGTTAATTGGCAATAGTTTTTGGAATCGAATAAAATCCACACCACTGAATAGGTGTGTGATGGATATGTGTGAGTGCGGCGCACAATGATGAGCGAACGAACACAGAAATCAATCAAACACCACATTTTTTTATGATTTATTCTCTCTAGCTCGCTGGCGATTTCTATTTCGATTTAATGATTCAACGGAAATCTACGCCATCAAAGTGGATTTGGTTCGAATTACAATCCACACAATTATTTCGTAACGCAATTGTAAAACTCTTAAAGGTCATAAAACACATACGAACTGCGTGTGTCGGTTGGCTTTGCAACTGCTTTGATTGAAAATGATTTTAGTTTTTTTTTGTTCGTTGTGGACACATTGCATTGTGAAGCGCAACACGTTGTTAGATCAACTGAAGCCACTTCAATTCACATGATTTAATACTCGCGAGCATCCGACAACAACAACAACAGCCGAATGGCTAGATAAAAAAAACGACAGTAATGAGTGGCCGCGAAAAAAGAAAACATATGTGCACAAAAGGGGGAAAGTAGAGAAGAACAGTCATAAATTATGTTTTATATTTTTTTATGGCGATGTACAGCGAAAGTCATCAAACGTGTAGATTTTTTCAGTTAACGCAATTTTCTTGATTCGCATTCACCGATCGCTGAAGCGATTTATTTCCTTTTACATCTTCACACAAAAAACAACCAATCATCTAATGCATTTTAATTTTTTCCGCTTCATTTTTTTTCTGTTCTCTGGGTGCTATTGCCTGCTGCTGCTCGGTGTTTTTGTAATACAGGTGGTCCTCTCGGCCTGTTCATCATATTTCCAGAGCCTATTTTTGGACCACCCTTCACGGCATCCAATTGTGATATTAAAAGACGTACGATTTGCTGAACTCCGAACGTTAATCGAATTCATGTACAAAGGTGAAGTAAATGTACAATACTGTCAGCTTTCTGCTCTGTTAAAAACAGCAGAATCGTTGAAGGTAAGTGTGTCTATGTGTGTGCGTGCGCTTAGCGCAATTGAGTGTGTAATTTACATCATTCGGTGCGCGGCACAAATGTGATGACTTTTACGATCTGATTATGTAATTCGAATGTTTTTTTTTTGCAATTTGTATGGCACACAATTAGGTAAAAGGTTTGGCCGAGATGACTAACCAAAGCTCAGCATTGAGAGAACCAGAACGAGAACAAGACCGCTTAAGACCCCCAACATCAAGCCCACAGAATTTAGGTATGAATAACAAAATAAGATTTCTAAACTCAATGCTTCCGCACATGAAGTCGTCAATGAATATATACCACCAATGATGGTTCTCATCATATTTATCATTGTTTTTTATTACACACAGATGCTACTGCAACAACAACAACAACAAATTCAAGTTTAAAACGATTGAGATGCAGTCCGTCACCGCCGAGGCATCATCAGCCACAACAACAATCGCCCCTACAAATCCATCGAATTTCGCCGATTTCAGAACGTCACCATGGGAGCGGTGAATCACCTCCCATATCCTCTTATCCGCGTAAATTAAACAGAGAACGAGAACGAGATTATAATCCGGAAACTGGTGCCGACGATCATTCACAACCGCTTAAGCTGAGACGAAAAGGACAACACCACGACGATAACAAACCATCCGATTATACGTCTTCAATTGATGGTCGCCGATCACGAACACCCGATGATATCGATGAAATGGACGAAGATGATGATGGAATGTCAAATGATCTGAATGGTTCGTGTTCACATCGATTTCATTTCATATTTATTTGGAAAAAATTGTCTTTAACTAAATGGAAATTTTTTATTACACAGAAACGGGAATCAACATGACGATAAACTCTTCTAATTCAATGAATTCTGTGCCACCGATTCGAAAGAGGTATATATCTATTGAATGAAATTCTTTTCAATTTTTGCTCAAATTGATAGTATTTTTTTTTTGTTTTACAGCTCATCGCCAACGCAACCATCAAACGTCAATTCGTCATCAAATCAAATGCAACAGCCTCCACCAAACTCGTCTGCCTCTTCTTTAATCACTTCAATGGTAATTTTCAATGCCACGAAAAATCATTAAGTATATTATTGTCACACAATTCTCATAAAGAGCTATTGTTGTACATTATTACTTAATTTACTTTAATATGCGGTTTGTTGATTTATGATCCATGATCTATTTTTAGATTCAAGTCGGGAATGGAAATGGTTCATCTGCAACGGGAAACGGAACATCGTCCGGCAGTGGAAGGTAATTACATTTTACGATTATCGGTTGTAATACAAACAATGCACTAAGTCATTCGAATGCTAAAAATACACAATCGTTTTTAATTTTTACTGATTTCGTGTGTGTGCATTTGTATTTACAGTGCAACAACAACATCAACATGCACGTCAACATCAAGCGGTTTGATTGCAACCAGTAGTGGAATTACTAGTCCAATGTTAAGTGATCCAACACTGTCCACCGAACCGATAGCTGGACCGTCTGGTTTGGGACCTGTTCAATCACATCCGCTGGTAAGACTTCGAAAATTCATTACAAAATATCTTAACCCCAAATCCGAACACCAACTAAATTTTCAAAAGTCTCACATTCTATTTCTTCCAATGCACTTGAATTTAATATGTTATCGTTTAATATTTCAGTCGCTGAAAAAAGAAGTTGACTGGGATCGTTCGGATGATAAATCAACTGGTGACTCAATATCGGATTACCGTGGCCATGTCCACGATTCGGTGAGTGAATTTTCCCGAATTACTTTTAAAAACTATTGATTTGATTCAAGATAAAAAAAAATTGGATCTTGCAAATGACCTACCCTAATAAATTTCACAAATAATTTTGAATGAGACATTTATACTACTGCATGCTTTTGTACTTTCACCCCATTCACCTCCACATTCATTTTATGTAAATAGTTATTCCACAATCATCCCCATTAAATTGACCAAATAAGTTGAAAAAGAAATTCCGAAAGTTCTCTCTTTTTTCAAGTAAATAAAACGGCCTTTTAATGAGGCGAAAAATAATTCTAGTTGCAAAAAACGAATATTTAATCCCTGCTTCGATGGAAAAATGTACTTCCAATATCGACAGCAAATTTAAATACGAAAAAAAATGCTTTATGTATGCATGTTTATTCTTTTGATCCAAATACTTCAATTGCAAAAAAAAATATGATATGTTATTGATGTTTTAGACTTTGTATATTTATGTGGTGTTGCATCCCAATTTATGTGTTTTCCCTTTTTATGAGCGAATTGCATGACGACGCAAGCACACAAACATGTTCCTCGCTTTCAAAAAAAAGTAAATATTTAAAAATAGAGGATAAAAAAAGAAGTAACCGATTTTCGAAATAAAATTAAATTTGTTTTGATAGACGTAAGTGTTGAACAACCGATTGAATATCGATCCATTCAAAATAGAAATAATGAATCATTTGAAAAATTGCAAACTCAATATAAAAATAAATGCTTGCTCTGTGACTTTATCAAACTACTTTTTTTTACGCGAAAAAGAAAACTTTGGTTGAAAGTTCCATATATTTCAATGGTGAAATCAATCGAAGGAATTTTGGCCTGTGCGCAATCGCCTGAACCAAATAAAAATCAAAATAAAAAAAAATAATAATAAACATCTTAATGCATCGAAGTTTCAAATGTGTAGATCGGAATTTTCGTGCATACATAAAGCATTCTTTTTTTTCTTTTCCATGTAGTTGATTATGTTTTTTGATATTTATATGTTTGTGTATCGGTGTATTTTACAACAAAATTTTCGTTTCAATTAACAAAGTATGAATCGGATGAGAAAAGACGAGTCTTAGCAAACTTTGCACAGACAAAGTAGCGGCTATTCTTATTTCTTGTGCAAATCATTTTTTTTTTTAAATAAATGTGTATATTTTTTTCCACAAATATTTCTCTCTCTGTCTGTCTATTTTGATGTGTCTGTTTGTTACTGCTTTCGATTTGTAAATTTGAGAAAAAAAAACACGATCGAACGAAAAAAAAAACATTTAACCGAAAAACAAAGCAAAAATAATTTATTTTAATAATCTGTGTGTTTATTAATACATAATTTAATTATTTTTTTTTTCGTTTTACATTTTGTTTAATTTATGAGAACTGTATTTCATCAGACAATAGAAATGTTTTCTTTAACAAAATGTGTACAACTCTTGCAAAAAAAAAGTTGTTGTGATTTTTGGTTATATTCGTTGATTTGTATTTTATTTTCCAAAAAAAGCAAAAAAAAATACAAGCCGGTAAACAAAATTGATTGTCAAAATTTCGATTGCAACTCAAGAATTTCGCACTTGCGTTTTTTTGTTGTTATGATTTCGATTTATTTCCATTTCGATAAATATCAAGATGAATTTTCGTTTATTTCCGTTTCGTAATCGATTGGATGCAATTTTGATTTGAATATGATTTTTTACAATTTCAGTTTTTTTCTTTACGTTTTTTATTCCTAATTTCAAAACTACAAAATACTCTTCGGCGATACAAATTCTCTGGCAAATCGCATTTCCAAATTTACAAATGTTGTTTTGAACACTTTGGCCATTCCACGTAAGAAGAGTATTTTGATCGCATCTGATTTTTTTTCTTTGAACTATTTTTTGCCATTCCTTTTTCTTTATTTGTAACATTTTTTTTTGGTTAAACAAATTGTTCTTATTATTGTCAAGAAGTTGATCTACGTTTTTTTTTGGATAATGGCTGTGCTATTATGTATTTTTTATAATAATAATAATATTACCTATCAATTTTACATAAATATTAAATATACTATTATTCAATAGAATTTAAACAAAAAAAAAAGACTTTGTCGAAAATCACATGAAAGAACCGAAACCGATGTCGATGCGCCGATGCGTACACGGCATTTGGTCAACACAAAAAAAAACTAACGAACACAAAATTCATTCGATGACCGAAAACCGTGTCAAAGAATGCAAAAAAAATAAGCAACATTGTGGAAATAAAATACAACTGATGCAAGAACAAAATTGTTAAACTTTTATCAAAATTACACCATTTTTTTGTTTACCAAAAATCTGCCTGTTCATTTGGAAACTTTACACTTCTTTGGTTATACACAATTTTTTTTTTATTTTTGAAAATAAAACATAATTCGATATTTGGTGACGTCAGACAAATAAAAACGGTATTCGATGTGAAAAATATGCGCGTGAAATGTGAAATAGTTTTTTAAAAAAAAGTATATACATATATGAAAATCCTAACTGCAATGCCGCTCCAAACAAAAATCGAACCTCAACTTCTTGAATAACTTTTTTTGTGCCTAAATCCGTCAATAGACTTGAAAGCATAGAATGCAGAGTAAAATTGTATTTTGTTTGATGGGAACGAAAGAGAAATTTTTTTTATAATAAATAAAAAGAAAAAGCAATTGAGTAAAAGAAATGAATCAGTTCAAGCAAGAAGAATGTATATTATTTCTGTTTTGAAAGAAGGAAAAAGAATCTACCAAAATTCCATTCACTGTCCAAATCGTATTTCTGCCCTTTTATTATTTTCTTGAATGCAAAAACAAAACCAAAAACCATTTAAATTAAAAACTTTTTTATTGGACAAATGTCAAATTGAAACTGATTTATATGATCAAACAGCAAGTATTATCTACATATTTACCATTATAATTATTAAAATCCCTTCTTTGCTTCACACACACCTTATCGTAGAGTAAATATTCTATTTTTTTCCATAAATTCAAATCATTTTCCAAACAAACAGCAATACCCAATTTGAACGAACGAACCTACCAAAAAAAAAAAAAACACCATGATAATAAAAATTTTAAATTTCTTTTTTGAAAAAAATTAATTTGACTTTTTCAAATTGAATTGGACAAATGAAAAAAAAAATAATCACGAAATTCCGAACAATACTCGAACAAATCAATTGTATTTCGATTGTTTTATGCCATAACAAACTTTTATTTGAACAATTAGAGTAGAATTTTGAAATTATCAATATTTATGACCAAAAATTAAAACAGCAACTGCTACCCAAGAGCAAATCTTCTTATAAATCTTACCCAATTCAAAATCAATGCATTTGTTTTTTTTTTATATTCATTACTACCTACAAAAATCAATGAACAAAATTGTTTTTCAAACAAACAAAAATTATTAACAAAATTTCAATTCGGACCAAAATCAAAATACAAAATTACCAACAACAACAAAATTAAAACAAATAAACTCAATTAACTTGCAAGAAAACCAAAATTAGCAAAAAATTACCAAAAAAAAAAATGAAAAAAACACTGAAAAAAACAAACCATGAAAAAAGAAGTTGATGTGGATTTTTGTTTGGTTACAGGATGCGTCAGGTGCACCACCAAATCCACACGATACACATAGCATCGTCGGAAGTGCTGGCCTTCAAATCTATCAATGCATGTATTGCGGTGCAACGTTTCCACATCAAAGCAAATTAACCCGTCACATTTTATCGCATTCGTTGGAAACAATGAGAGACAAGTCATTCGTTGCATTTGACAAATTTCGTGATGCAAGTCATTTGTTGCATTTGACAAATTTCCCGCACGAAGCACATTTTCCGCAAAGACCGTCATTGCTCGAACCGCTCGAACCGCCCGATGGTTCGATGGAAAGTGAATTTGCTGCAATGGCAGCGGCGGCTGCGATCGCAGCTGTCAGTGGCGGTGGCAGTAATTCAACACCGGGCGGCAATGGTGCATCGAGTACGAATGATCAAGGCAATGTAGTTTTATGTAAATTTTGTGGTAAAAGCTTTCCCGACGTGTCTTCATTAATTACACATTTACCTGTGCACACGGGTGATCGACCGTTCAAATGCGAATTCTGCGGCAAAGCCTTCAAGCTACGGCACCACATGAAAGACCATTGTCGAGTCCATACAGGTAAGGCAATCATTTTCGTTTTTTTTCCGTTGTTTTTTTTTTTCACATTTCTAGTCGATAAGTCATTCAATTGCAAATGAACAATTTTGATTGGTGGTACGATGCATTTTGACATTTTAGGTGAACGGCCGTTTCGGTGCTCCATGTGTGGCAAAACATTTTCGCGATCGACGATATTGAAAGCGCACGAGAAAACACACTTTCCAAAGTATGTGCGCAAATTTTTATCGCCAAGCCCGGTCGATGGTAAAGAGGAACCACCGCAATAATTAACAATGAACCTTAGTCGTCAGCTTGCCCGATTCGACGACAAACAAAAGAAGAAACATCATCATCATCATCAGCAGCAGCACCACCACCATTATCATCATAAACGCAAATTTTACTAAGAACAAAAACAAAAAAGTTTAGAGAGGAAGCAAGAACCAACACAAATACCACGCAATCCGGACAGAACTTAGAATTTCGAATGCAAACTATACCGCAACACGGCTCAGTGTTGACAAAGGAACCACGCTTCTTGGATAATTTACAGTTTGTCGAAATCATAACACATACATACACACACACATATACATAAACAGCAAGCAACTGAAAGAGAAACACAAAGAATGAAAGAAAGGATTTAAAATAAACATTTTAATGAATGATGCGATAAAAATGAAAGAAATAAAACAAACCACAACTTAATAAACAACAAAAAAAACCTATGAAATTAAATAGCAATATTTGGGGATTCACTTTACCGTAATTAAAATGCATATTTGAAGTTATTATTAAACAAGAAAGATAAAAAAAGCAAATATATATTCTA